AAAAAAGAGAGAAAATCCCCCCCAAAAAATAAAAACTTACGAAATGGTGGGAAAATATTATTTTAACAAGCGCCTCATTTCACCACAATGCCCACAAAAAAAATTATTCTCACATCAATAGCATCTGGAATCTTCTCAAGCCCGATGAAAGGTCCAGCCTCACTCTTGTCCCCCTTGTCCACAGTCATCCTGATCTTGCCGCTGTTGTAGAGATGGACCAGGCGGGAGAAATGGGCGCCAATTTCAGGGATGTGCAGGGCCAGGAAAAATCCCCGCACACTGGCACATTTCACCAAGAGCTGTGTGTAAAAAGTTTTTAAAAATAGGCCTACATATAAAAAAGAAAAAGAAAACCCTTAGATAACTACATGTATTGCCAAATTGCTGCCTTAGAATTATAAAGTTCTAGCGTGATATTTTTGTCCATCTGTCCCCGTAGGACTATGCAATTGTGCGGGCGCGGCCCATCCGCGTTTTTTTCGCGTAATTCTGCAACATTTGCAGAATTTTGGATTATCCGCGTTTTTTCACGTTTTTTTACCTTTTTTTTCACAAAACGATGAACGCCTCGCCATGTGACTAAAGGGACGTAATCACAGTAATAACTCTCATTTAAGTGAAAAGTTGGTTATTTCCCTTGTTAGAAGATCTTGGTTATGGGTTGTGATTTTGTTCCTTGAGCATGTTCAATGTTTCAATCCATCAAAAGTTGTTGTTCTCATGTCTGCTGATGTTTCATGTTTGACAGGTGTCCCTGGTTTTAGTAATGTGCCAGCATCAGAGGTCCAGATGTTCTTTTAAAAAATTTTTTTTTTACATTTTTCTTTCCTCTATAGATCTAGATCTACAGCTGAAAGTTACAGAGATTATTATTTTTGGTTGTTGTTTTTTTTTTTACTGATGTGTATTGTTTTCTTTTCCAAATACACAACAAATTACTGATACAGATACGTTCTGTTTTCAATTTTTCTGTACATAAAACAAGAAAATCATGAAACTTCGCGTTGAAAAAGTGCAAAACATGGTAATTGCGAATGGTGTTACAGTAACTTCCATAATTTTTGCATAATTTTGCTTTTTTTTGTGCATAATTTGGCCTTCTAATTTTGCATAATTCTACGGGGACAGGTCCATTTTGAGTTACAAAGACCATGAGGCCATACACCAAATGTTCTATCCACTCTATCAAAATCAAAAGATTATTCAGTGCTGTTTTCAAGAGATTCAAAGAACTGCATTTGATAAAGCTTGACATGTTGGGCTAATGAATATTATCAAAGTCCTATTTTTCAAAAGTAGGTAGTGAGCAGATAGAACTTTGTACTTCTTGGGTAGCGAAATGTTCATGGACAGTAATATTAGCTGGTAAACATGGAGCAATGAGATACCGGTACACTGGATTTCGTTTTAATTGTAAACTGCTGGGGTTGGTAATCAAAAGAAAGGTACCACATTTTGATTCTGTAGAAAACCTAGTACAGTGGAACTCTGATTCAACGAGGTCGCCGGGCCTGATCTAAAGCCTCGTTGAATCCGGGTGTTCGTTATAGCAAACATGAGGTTTTGTGTAGATTATTACAGGCACTGAGCACATAATGTGTAAAGAGAAGTAAGAAGTAAAGCCTGAAATGCCTGCATATTATGAGCCGTGTAAAAAAAAGACCAATTCGTTCAAATGCACGCCTATGTCATCTCGATTGTTTGCCAAAAAGTTGTGTTGCTGTGTAGAGCCTAGCACACGACAACGTTTGATTCCATAGACCAACGCTCAATTCATTACGTAGATCTACGTCAATACTAGCTTATATAATAATGATCAGTTGCTGAGGAAAAAAAAAGACTGAGTGGCGCGTTTGTATCTGTGACGTTCAACGCCCAGACCGCCGGTGCCCCCCCCCCTCCCTTCCCTCCCTGACACTGTCACACGTGTGCAGGCCGCCCATCCAACCCCGACACACACCAGAGTAGACACGTGTGTGTGCCAACAACGCATGTATTGGTATGAAAAAAGGCCGCAGATTGGTCGCATTCAATCGGCTAAGTGAACAGTAGTTAACGATGCAGGTGCAAAGGATGGTTTTCGGGAATAGATAAAGTTCGTTCTGGGAGAAAAATAAGCGAAGCCACGTCTGTGGGGGCTGTTCACCCTGGAAGCAACCTCGTTGAATCCGAGCTTGCTGATTTAAGTGCTTGTTGAATCCGGGTTATTTTTATTGATTTTAAAGAAGAAAAAAAAACGGGGAATCTATCTCCTCTCATTGAATCCGAGTTCTCGTTGAATCCGAGCTCGTTAAATCCGAGTTCCACTGTACGGTATTTGGAGTCTATGCCTTTCCTTCCATTTTCAAAGTAGTCTAAACAGTACGTCAAGTTATAAAAGTAACATTTTGGAGCTTCAATTAGTGTTTGCAGAATTAATTTTGAAAAGAGAAAAACTTTTCCCAATCATGTGGCGGATTTTTTCTCTCTATATGTAGGGACCAACTATAATATGTACTTCATTTTGATTTATTTCTGAAGTGTGTGTGGCTTGACATAACATGTTGCGCAACTGTGCATACAATAGAACTCAGTTTCGAAGAACTCAGACGCAAACGAAAACTCGGATTCAACTAAGGGAGTTTGGTTCCCTGTTTTGTAATTCATAAAATGTATAAAAATAACTCGGATTCAAAGAACACCTAAATGAGCAAGCTCGGATTCAACGATGTCGCTTGCAAGGTGAACTGCCTCATGCAACCAATCAGCGACCAACATTTATACTAACACTGGTACTTTTTGCACTCAGACATGTCTTAGCATGTGTCGGGGTTGGACGATCGGCCAACACACATGTGACTGTGTGCATTTGTGTGGGGGAGATGTGGAAGTTCAGTAGAGATCTATACAAACGAGTCACAGTTATTTTTTCCACGGCTACTGATCAATACAACAATGATAAGCTAGTCTTCACACAGGTCTACTTAATGAGCTGCACGCTGGAGTGTGGAATCAAACATTTCCTATGCTAGGCTTTACACAGCAAAATAGCTGTTCAGCAAACAAAACGTTATAATTGATAGATAATACAATTGGGCATTTTAACAAACTGGCCCTCTTGCACAATGTTTGCTTGTTATACTTCAGTGTATTTTCCTGGAATTTTCCAGCATTTCTTCGGCATCAAAGAAATGAAAATATCTCTCATTTGAAACCAAACTACTTTTGATTGAGAAAGTTGAACACATAATACATAACTTGCTCGGTGCAGTAATCATCTACATAGAAACCTAATTTTTGGGACGTTTGTGTTAATATTTGCTGTTATTTTGTTGTTACCAGTTGTTATTTGTTGTTATCAGTTTTATTTGTCATTATTTGTTGTTATCTCAACAAAGATAAATACCGATGTAAGCAGACTACCTTAAAAACTAAGTAAAAGCGAATAAATTAGGACATTTGTGTAGATATTTGTCGTTATTTTGTTGTTATCAGTTGTTATTTGTTGCCATCAATCGTTATCAGTCATTATTGGTTGTTATCAGTAGGGCTGGATCCTGCTCGCCAAATTTGAGAGCGGCAATTCGCGATTCAGTCGGATTCGAAGAATCGCGAGTACGCGAGCGCTCGTGGAACTGTGGCGGAACACTGACTGAAACGGAACAGTGTCATATCAACGCCACTTGGCGAGCGCGA